GCCTGGCAGATAGGGAGCTGCGCTGCCAAAGCCGCCGCCCCCTCTCCTCTCCTCTCCCCTCCTCCCCCCCACCCCACAACCTTCGTCTGCAAGGGCTGGGGGCTCCCGACCATCTAAGTCGGAGGGGGAAGGTTGTTACTGAGGGGCGCCTTTGGGGAACCCTTCTGGCCGCCCCTGTCCCCCCCCACCAGCCTGGTACTGCCCCCCCAGGGGATCCTGCCTGGGGAAGGAGAGGCAGACGGACAGACAGACTCGCCCCTGGCCTTCATCGTCTCCAAGGCAGGAAAGAACCTGAAAGGCTCCTGTTCGGGGGGGGGGGCTTGGTGCTGGACCTGAGCGAGCTCAAAAGACACACCAGCTGAAGAACAGAGTGCACTTGACCATGCGCAGAGCGATGCTTTTTGGCCTTGGCTTGTGAGAGCTCATGGGGAGAGGGCGGGTCCTTGGCTCTACAAGAAGTGGCGGGTGGGGTGGGCCCCCCTCCCCGAATGCCCTCTTTCCCACGGAGCTCCCTCCCCTATAGGGGGGCTGCATCAGCTGGCAAAGGGAGGTGTGAGGTAGCCCATAGGGCAGCAGGTGGGCTGGCCCCACTAGGGGTGTGTGTGTGTGTGTGCGCGCGCGCACACGTGTGCCACCCATCAAGAAAGCCTGCCAGTCTAGCAGGGCTATGGTCGTCTTTTTCCCCTGGCCTTTCCCCTTCGGCAGCCCCAGCAGTCGGCCCGGTTGGAGAGAGTCCCCCCAGGGCCCGACGGTGGCAGCCTTGTAAAGGGGAAGAAGCCATGTCCGGGGGGGGGCACCCTCAGCAGGTGCACATGGATGGCTTGGGAGGGGTGCAGCGGAGGTGCCCCCAGGGATGCCTGACCCTGCTGACCTTCCGTGCAGGCCTTCCTGGAGTAGAGGTGGTGGAAGGAGCAACACTGGTGGGGGTGGGGCGGTGTGCTGGGGGCCCAGCCTTGGCCAGGCTCACTGGTGCATGCGCAGGAGACGGGCAGGGAAGAGAAGGACAGGTGGGGTGGCCAGAAGGCAGGGCTATGGCTTCCCCTCCATAGGAGAGGGCCAGACCAGTAGCTTGGACATCCCTGGGCCATCTCTGATGAAGCCAAAGGGGGTGGCGGTGGGGAAGGCAGGGGGAAGCACCGCCCAGACTGCATTTGTTTCAAGGCTGTCAGGATACAGCCCTGCAGTGAGGCAGGAGTGGGGGGAGGAAATGAAATAGGTCTCCAGGGAAAACTCAGAGAAGCTGGGAACCTCCCCTGGCCATAAAAAAAGAGTCTGTGGGGTTTTTGGGGGGTGAGGGGTCCCACAAGATGGCTTTGGGGAAAAGCCTCCCCCCCCCGCCCCACCCTGCCCTGCCTGCTTTGGGCTGGATCCTCCAGTCCCAATTGTTCTGGACCGGATGTACTTCCTCCCATTCAGGTCAAGAAGCTGTATGGGGTGGTGGTGGGGGGGTGAAGGCACTCTCTTGGTCTCCCCCCTTGGCCTAGGAAGGAAGGGGCTGGACTGAAGCCGAAGGCCAGAGCTGGGGGTGGGGGTGGGGCTGCCTCTTTTTCTAGCCATGATCTTCTGGAAGGACCTCTACATGCCTGCAGGCGAGCAGGGAGAGGCCGGGCCTCTCCTCTTGGGACAAGGGAACTCACCCTGCGGGGGGGGGGGGAGACTGCCTCTGGACAGGGAGGGTCTGCTGATTGTGCAGCCCTACTTTATCCATTCAACTTGAGCGCCAGTTAGGAAAAGGAGGCCTTTGGAAAAGCTGCTCTCTGCTGGTTGCAACAAACTCCATGTGTTAACGATGAGAAAAAGAAACGTGGCCTTTGGTTTTTCTTACACCTGATGGGTAAGCCAAACATTTTAGAGGTTTATTGGCAGGTGATACTTTCACCCACTCGCCCCCGACCCTGTTCCGGACCATGACAAGCCCCTCCTCGGGCAGCCTTTTTCCTAAACCAAGCACTGGCACCCCAACCCACTCCACCCCACCCTCCCCCCTAACCCCAGTCATGACTCTGACGCTGCAGGTGCCCCTTAACCAACCCCTCCCGCTGTTACTCTCGGCGGTTTATTGGCAGGTGATACTTTCACCCACTCGCCCCCGACCCTGTTCCGGACCATGACAAGCCCCTCCTCGGGCAGCCTTTTTCCTAAACCAAGCACTGGCACCCCAACCCACTCCACCCCACCCTCCCCCCTAACCCCAGTCATGACTCTGACGCTGCAGGTGCCCCTTAACCAACCCCTCCCGCTGTTACTCTCGGCTCGGCTG